GTCTCAATTTCCATTTCAATAGTGTTAAATCCTAATGACTGCATGTTTAGTATGCTAGAGTTAAACCTCTAATGAATGTAACAGTTTTTTAACCAAAGAGCTTGGTTTTGGCACTGGATCTCGTTTTCTTAAGCAGAAGTAACGTGTATAAATGGACTGGGAATTAGGAGGGATAAATGTACGTGGGGCATGGGGGTGAGAATTGCTTGTCAGAGGTTTTGTTTTCAGCTTTTCTCTCTTCTCCTGGCTCTCCTAAGCAGCATTTGGGGTAGTAAGTGCCAAGCCCAGCTAAGAGCAGGTGACTTTTGACTCCACAGCGAATAGCAGAAGATCTCTTGGGGGAATGTGGAGAGAGTGCTGAGAGAAAATTCCTGAATGTTTTAACAGAGAAAAAGCCTGAATGTTTAAATGAAGAATAGCTGGAATAGCTCCAGCAGGATCTTTCTTCGTGTTGGCTGTGATGTAGCCAGCTTTCTTCTTCCCTCCAAAGCTTTGCTGTATTGCTATTGCTGCCCGGCAAGATCCCCTTCCCAGTGAGGGCTGATGTTTGGCAGAAGCAGAGGAGCTATTTCCATCCCTGAGAGGCTTGGAGCCCGTGTGGCGTTGGGAGGCTCGGGCACACTGCTCAGGGGCGAGGGGGGAACTAACCACATGGAGAGCAGGGAGTTGGCCTGGGGAAAGGGAAACCTGGCTGCTTTGGTTTCCCCGTAGAGACTTGGGCAGGGGCACAACAGTTCAGCAAGACCTTCTCTTGGGACTCAGTCCAGCACTGGTCAAAATAATTGTAGTTTTGTCATTGGCTATAAAAATACTGAGATCGGGCCTAGAATTAGCTAGTTATTGTTCTTTCTCTGCCCTCCCCTCTGCCACATCAGCCTAAGCCTGATCCAAAGCCTTTGGAAATGGAAAACTTCCCATTAATTTGACTGAGCTCTGAGCCAGATTTTCTGAGCAGAGGGGAGCTGTTCATGTGGCAAACAGAGCTCTGGGACATCCGTGGGGAACAGCTTTTTCTGTGAATCGCTGTAAGTGGGAGCTGTGACAACATGTTTTGTTAAATTTGTGTCATCTAGACTTACTTTTCACTATTTTGGGTAGAACAGATTGGAATAGCTGGAAAACATTTGGGAGATTGGAGACTGTCCTTTATGTTTTCAAATGTAATCTGAATACAAATGGCCAGCCTTGACCCTTTGCTCCTTGCTCACCAGTGACAGCTTGGGGAGCAGAAGAAATCAATATTAATCATTGTATTTGTTTGTATAAGAACTAGAAATGTTTTCTTTTGAAATTAATTCTCTAGCTCAAATCTGCTTACCACCTGTGATTTCTTCTACTTTTTATATGTCATTAAAATGTAAAACCAGCAATAAAAAGAAATCAAACAGCTGAGGAAGTGTCTGTTCTGGATAAGGCATTGCCTCATTTTAGTGCATGTATGTGTTATTTTTTGAGTGTGTGTGTGTATGCTTGCTAAATATAATTATTCCTGTTTAAATCCTGTGCAGCAAGGAATGGACTAATGGAGACCCTCCAGATCTCTCTGTGTTCGCAGGTTAATCTCTCTAAATGAGATTCTCTGTGTGGCTGCCAAGTTCACCCTATGCAGTATTTAAATCCATGATACAGAAAAAGAAAATGGGATTGCAGTGTCCTTATGATCAGTTTCTTAATAATTAGCAGGATTCAAAGTGTCTAATTTTAAGGAATGCTGTAAGAATGAATTGATATAAGTATCTTAAGATTTGGGGTGGGACATTTGGAAAACTGGATGCATTATCCAATGCCAGAAAAAAATTCATGTAACACCGCTTCCCTTCCAATAGACTCAGTTGTGTCCTGATTTTGCCTCCATGGGTTAAACTTGAGAGTAATTGGGCTGGTTTAAAATCGATGTGTGTTCCGTTATGTGTAAGTCCTCTGGTTTTTATATGCAAATCTTTGTGTCTCCAAGTATAGTATTAGCAACGGATTAGTGCCTTCACTTGTATCCTGAGGTGCAGTGTATTGGAGTGCCTTTCACAACAAAGTTTGCGTGGAATTAGTCACAGCACTTTGAAGTTGTTTTTGCTTTTTGAACACCAGCATTATTGGTGTGTGCTGCTGCTTTTCTTCTTTAAATGACCTAAGATTGAAGAGATGAAACTTGCGTGTGGCATCATCAGCTTGTTCAGAAACTTGGCCTGAATAAAACTCTCACCCAATTTGGGTAAAAATAAATATGAAGTGACAGGCATTTCCCTCATTTTAGAAGGGGATGAAGAGAGGTATCTAATTCTTTGACTACAAAAAGCCCATTTATTTGAAAGCTCTCTTGGAGAGCACAGCACAGAAATTGTCAGTTGCCAAGAAGGGTCTAAGAGAAGAGGATCCAGTCGCACCAAGTGCCTGTGAGTTGGTCTGTTCCTGGAGCATATTATAGCAAAATACTGGTGATTGCATTGGTTTTCACTGTTCTGGGCTGCATTATAGGGAAGTGTGCAAGAAGGGAGACTGGATAGCGATGAAGCTGATAACTCTCTTTCTCTGACATTCAGCAAAAAGGTGCGTGGGTAACGGGGAGGGAGTTGAATGATGCTTATGAGCGTGTAAGCCGATGGATGGAAATCCTGGGCCAGTAGCTTGCAATGGACAAGAAACCATGTTGGTGAATCAAAGTAAAAGCTAGAGGTATCTTGGGATTTGTAAGGAGTGTAAGTGGAGAGAAGCACAAATTTGTTGGGGACTACTCGCTTGTTCAGCAAGTGTGCTGCTTCTATTCAGCCAGGAAAATGTGAGGAAAACCTCCCAGAAGTGGACTAGAAGTCCCCAAAGCTTCATGAAAGCACAGCTCTAAGGCCCCTGCATGAAAGAGGTGAAAGAGCCCGATGTGATCCTTATTTCATTACCTATCACTGCTCATGTAAACCTGCCTTTGGAAAGATTTCCAGATGTTAGATACACAGTGTCTCCGGAAGAACTTGTGGAGACTAAAAATCATTTGGAAATGTGAATGCAATGTAGAAGGTGGTTATTTCAGAAGTCTGAAATCTGTTTGATCTAGATCTCTATGTGTCTAGCTCTCTGGAGTGATAGTTTTGCAGTCCTCAGAGCCCTGGCTTAGGGCATCTTGAGTTATGTACCAGTAACTATCAATACTGGAGTCTATTCTCCATATATCTTACTCCAGTTTGCTCTCTTGCATTGCTGACTTCAGTGACTGCATGCTGGCAAACCACAATAAAATTGTCTCTGCTAGTAGCAGGATGTGTACAAAAGTTGTACAGTGTCAACTCCTCTGCAGCAGTCCTCAGCACTTGAAAAGAGTTCATTAGTGGACAGGTCTCTGGAGCAGATAAAGACTACTGCAAGAGGATGACAGGCTTTGATGCAGTTAAGTTGTACGGCAGAGCTCATTGGTGTGCAATACGCTTTCCACCTTTCCTCTAAGAACTTTGCAATGTCTCCTAGACATGGAATTGAGCTTCTTTTCTTGGAAGACTGGCAAGGGTTCATTCTGTATACTGAGAGACTATGATTCAGAGGGCTAAATGACATGCCTATCCTGCAATAGTGAGTGAGAGTCTGGGAAGACGAGAGTTATTGGTGCACTATTCAAGTTTGAAAAAAACCCTCAGTTCGGATTGTATCAAATTTTTCAGCCTCTTCTTCAAAAAATAATAAAAGATTCAGTATGTCAAAAGATGCATTCTTTTCAGAGTGAGCTGAAGCATCCTGTTTTCAGACCCTTGTGCAGCTGATGGAAGGAGTGATATGCTGTAGTGTCCCCTGTAGCAGTGGGCTTGGTTTGACATCCCAGAGACCCTTATTTCTTTACCTTGTCATTCAGTCATCAGCACACTTACCTGGGATGTCAGTTTACTGTTCAGTCTTATCCTGTGCTCAGAAGAATTTGAGCATCTCCCCTGAATAGTGCCCCAAGTACTAAGCTAAAGTATGTGAATGGCTGTCCATTTCCCTTGATTAGGCTACTGCACTTACCTAAGAAATGGGATATTAATCTGAAAGCAAAGCAAGGCAAACATCCCGTTTTTAACCATGTGACCCAACCGTAACCATAACATCGCAGATCCTTGCTCTTTGGCTAAATGACTAAGGGAGTGATCAAGAACACCAGTTTGTAATGTGTCTCTATACCATGGTTTCCTGATCACAATAGTCTCCTGAGAGGTTTGAATCTCCTAAACAAACTGAACACAGAACCTTCACTTCCTTGGGTGACTGCTCAAGCCACTGAGACCAGCTTCTCTTCTGGAGGCTTTGTGAATCTCATCTGAACTTCTTGGATGCTGCTCAGGGGGAGGGGAGAGGAGCTAGAAGAGTTAGGAGTGAAGATCCCCCCTGGGAAGAAGGAGGGGTGGAGAGAAGGTGGTTTTAGTTTTGTTATTTCTCACTAATTAATTCCCCTGAAGTCGTCTATTTTGCCTATGACAGTAACTGTGAGTGATCTCCCTGTCTTCATCATGATTGATGAGCTTTTCCATCATGTTTTCTTCCCCTGTCCCTCTTGCAGATGAGGAGTGATAGAGCAGCTTGGTGGGCATCTGGCAACCAGCCAAGGTTAACCCACCACAATGCTATAACTGTCATAAGTAGTCAGACTGGAGCTGTGTCCAGTAAAGCATGCAAATCTTTAGATAGTCTTTGGAAACAGCCTCTGGCAGCAAGCAATCCTGGTGGTTTGTTTCCATGACAGGTGAGTCTGGAGTATATAAAAAGAGAAAGCAGAAAACTTACTACTGACCTCTAGCCGTGTAACTGTTGAAATCCCAGTATCACAGCTCCTGTAGAGGTTGCTTCTTGCCAAAAGCACTTCACTGATAGGATTAGAAAGGATATCTTGTTCAGCAGTATCCATTTACTATGCATTCACCTCAACTGTTTCTTCCTGATGACCACATCTGTGACACCCAGATGCCGTTGCCTCCAGGCTAGTCACTGGAGAGAGCTAGTGGCAAGAGACAAATGCCTGTGGTCCTGACTGTATTCACTCCATAGTGAACTGTGAGCATCTTATCAAGAGACAAGAATGGTCTTGAATCAGTGGATTATCTTACTTTTCACTAAATGATAGATGTTGAAAACAATTTCAACACAGGGATCATGTCCTTTCTCCCAGAGAAAAGGTACACATGCAATACTTTCTGTGGAACTACAGGGCAAAGGTTTACTTCATATTTGCGTTGTCTTTTTCCTGGTAAGGACTGGCCTTGAGTTCAAATCCTGCACTAATACCTTCTGATTTTTGTCATGTCTATGCTGGAAGCACGAAGTATGAGCAGATTTTTCTTTCCTTTTGTTAACAAAAGGAGTTTCACCAATGTGTCATGTTGCTTAGTTGTGGTAAAAGTGTAGTCGCTTATTGTTTTATTTCAGCATCTCAGGAGGTTATCTATTGAGTCTTTATGGGGTTAAAAATGAATCCAGATGTGTTTACCCAGAATCTGCTTTAACACAGTAGGCACAGCTGTTTTTCGGATGTATCCTGGCTGGATTCCAACATGAGCAGTCACATTTTCCCTGTCTCTGAATTCCCTTGTAGTTTTAACTATTAACAAGAACACAAGAACCACAAGAACGTTACTAAGCTTGGTATTTCCAAAAAACATTCATTGAGGGTCCCACTGCTGTGAGAAGAAATTTTAAGAATCAAGTATTTATAAATTCACCTGGAGTTATGGGGTTTTTTTGCCTACTAGCTTTTAAGTCTTTGGGCTTGGATTTCAAGCCTTTTTTTGCCAATGATACAGACTAAAAGCGCTAAACTATCTGAAAGTGTGCTTGATTCATATAAGGCCAAGGGTTCAAGTCTTGGTTTAATCAAATAGTGTGAAGCTTAGGCTATAACTGTGATAGCTGGCAGGATGGCAATAGCTAACAGCCAGTTGAGAGTACAGGTGGGTAAAGAAAAAGCATGAGCTGATGTAACTTCTTTCTGATGGAAAAGGAGGGCCCACAGCTTGGCCCAAGGCCCGAATTTATTTTCTTAAAGGAAAGTGTGCATTTAAAGCTGCAAGACGATAATTGTTGTATTCTAAATTAGGCATTAACAATGTCCAGTTGTCTCCCTTGGCAAGGGGAAGATACGTAACCATGCATCGGCACCACCATCAGACATTCTTCTGGGTTGTGTTGTATCTTTCACCTTTTGGGGTTCCCCTGCTTCTTGGTGGAGGTGTTGCCATTTTGTTGGTATTCCTGTTAGGATTTATCCCTGTTTATTGTGGCAGAGTTAGCTTGGACAGGAAAGTACAGGATTGCTTCTGCATGTGGAAAAGATGTGACTTTCATTTGAACTCTGTCCCCTGTGGGATGCGTAATGGTAGGATTTGAGTACTGTGTACCTTGCATGGCTAGTTGTCAGACAGGGATTGACCAGCAGGGATGAAAAGAGCTGTAGCCCTAGAATAAAGTTGCTTCTGTGTCACCTGGTGCATTTATGAAATGGTAGGAACTTTCTTTTCTGTTTGGAGCTGTGTGTGTCTAGGCTTGTCAACAGTTGCCAAGGATATTGTCTCTCTTTATTATCTCAAGCAATAGTGTGGCCAAGAAGAGAGCAGTGATATAAATTCTGGAGATTTCATTGCACATCTTGATGTCTTCCTTGGAAGATCCAGCATGTGGAGTTACCTGAAGGTAGAAGCTTCATCTTTCCTTTTGAAAGCAAGGTTCTGTTTCTCATGGTTTCAAATTAACTACTGATGAAAAAGGACTCTAAAACCGGAAGGCAAGGGAAAAGACCACCCTAAACTTAAGACCTTAAAATTATTCTTATGATCTTGGAGACTTTGGTCATAAAACTAAGTACGGTTGAAATGCTGGTAGCTGTCATAATTGCTGGACCAGAAGCTATTTTTATAGATCGGTGGTCTCTGTATTTCAATATTTATTTGTTTTATACTAAGCAGAGGACAAAATCAATGGTGGGGTGTGTGTGTATCTGTTTTCAAGATAAAACAACAGCAACATGTAAGTTGTTATGCAATGATTTCCCTAGTATCCACATGATTAACTGCACAAGTTTTTCCTTGTAATGCATCCAACTAGATTTCTTCTCCCTTGACAGTTTTTCTATTGCTGAATTGTTCCTTCATGGGATTTTTCAGAGGGTTTCCGAATTGCATGGTGTTTGTTAGAGGAAAAAGCAGAGCAACCTGAGCTGCCATTGTCTTTGGTTAAATTCAGATCTATATCCAAAGCGCTGGCATTTTTAGACCTGAGGGATCTCCTTAACTCTGCCTAGAGCCAGATCTAGCTATGAATTGTATTTAAGTTCCAACTTTCTTTGGTCAAAAGCATATCTGTGAACTGTGAGTCAGGCTTTAAAGTAAATGGTAAGTTAAATGATTTTTTTTTTTTTTAGAGTTAAGAACTTGCTGAAAATGAATACCGAAGGGATCTGTGGATAACAGTCTGTCTTTTGATATGCTGCCTACAGCTAAAATAAAACTAATTACAAAGGGCCACACCCCTGCAATAACTTAAGGCATGGTTTAGAGCTAATGTGCATGTTCACGCACAGACTACAGGAGCTAGAAACAATTCCAAAGCATGCATGTATGAGTGCATGCTTACACTGGCTTTCCCAAGCAAAAGCAAAAACTCTTGTGAAGATACTTAGAGGCTGAAGGGGTTAAATGAAATACAACTCTCCTTTTTCTGTGCAGTAAGGATTAGTAACCAAACAGAAGCTGGAGAGAAGAGCGCTTAAGAGCCGCTGTTTGAAACAGAGCGATAAGAAAGTGGGTTTTGGAGCTTGGCTGCAGAGTGGTGTGTCTCCAACTTTTGCGCTCACCATTCGCAGGTACACGCAGAAGGTAAGAGTTGACTTTGTGTTCTGGGCTGTCTCCTGAACCCTCTACCTGGATATCTATTGTCTATTAGTCTTTTCAGTGCTGTTTGTGCTTTTTAAACTTTTTTTTTATTTCCCATCATTTTTTTCTTTCAGTTAAAAGAGTGCAAGTGAGAGGAGAGACCAGAGTCCTTATGACTGCAAGATTTTATTTCCTAGAAGGGAGGGAAGATGACACTCTATGTATTTGGTGAACATTAATCCCTGTCACTCACAGTTAATTACACTGAGACTCAATGTAATCAAAACCACTCTTCCTGCCGTTGTGGTTGGGGGGAGCAGGGGAGTGGAAGGGGAAGGCACCAGTTTGGTAGGATGCTGGATGAGCCTGCTGGGGTCAGACATAGTGCTTTGCCAAAAGGAACACAAAAAGCAAGGCAAATGTAGCAGGGATATTGACTGGAGAAACGTAATTTTTGTTGGCAGGAATAAAAGCCTGCCTAGGTGCTAAGACCCTTGTACCCCCTAACTATCACCCCAGGGGTGCTCAGCTGCTTCTGTTCGTATGCAAGCAGGTGCTGAGGGGAGGGAGTGTCTCCTCATCAGTCCTGCATTGCTTTCAGCTCTGTGAGACAGGATCCGTTTGGGAGGCTCTCCCCAGGCAAATGATGCTGTCAGGGTCAACAGACCTGTTTGTGAAAGAGGAGGTTTGCAGGACTAATGTGTGAGCCAGGCCAAGCCGGCAGCTTCAGGGACCTGTCCTGGAACGGAGATGGTAATGATGCCTAATTTGTGAGGCAAGTAATCCCTGAAGCAACTAGATCAGACGAGCAATGTGGAAGGGCAGTAGATTTGCCTGAAGCCCTGGTGTTCCTCGTGGGTAGTCAGGTGGAGATAGAGGAGCAGTTGATTTAAAACCTGAGTTTCAAAGCTTTGATCAAGGTAATGCTAGTTTTGAATGGAGTTTCTAGGACTAGGAATAACTGGTATTAGCGCAGGAGCTTAGGCAGGTGGCGTGGTTCTTTAGGTCAATCTGTAAAGACTCTAAAGAGGGTTTGTAAACACCTTTGCTTATTACTTTTGAAAGCGTCTTCACAACACTTGGAGTTTGTTTTATGCTTTCTGCGTTGTACTTCTGAGCATCCTTCAGCAGCTTCTCTGTAAGCTGGCTTGCAACTTAGATGTTTTTCTCTGGCTTCTTAGAGATGTAACACCCTCTCTAATGCCAGAGCATTTCCTAGTCTCTGTAGACAGAGGAGCCATGAAAAAAACATTCTTTCTGAGGTGCAGCGTGTTGATGAGCTGATGTGCTACACAGTCATGTGTGTGTTGGATTCTGGACTTTCAGGACAAGCGGTCCGCAGTTACAGGGAGCGAAAGGAGGTGTTTGTGATGTGCAACAAAGGTAGTTAGGACCGTGCATCTTTGGCATGGCACTAGCTTAAACTAATATTTGTTCATGTTAGTAAATGGAATGATTGATAAAATGCAAAAAAAAAAAAACAGGGCAAATTTGCTGTCTCTGGAAGTTTTGCTTTTAGCATACTTTCCTGCCCAGTGTGAGATAATTGAGACTTGTTTTTCAAGCATATTCTCAGGTTCTCACACACTGTGGAGCATCCTGACACCTCTGAAGTGTTTTTAAAATATTTTGCTTCATGAGTGTAAATGCTTGATGGCTTCATGGAAATGCTGGGGTTGGGATAGTTTCTTTGCAGCATTTGCATATTCCAAACCTGTTCACTCATAAACAGTCCACTCTGAATGAGAAAAGGTGTGTGATGAATGATTTGAGGTGATTTGCAAGCAAGGATGTAGGTTTTTGTTTGATGGTCTCTCGATGATATATATTAAAAGGAATATTACATACGAAACTAAATTCTCTTAATTTGAAGGGAAAGTAGCAATCATTACGCTATAAAGAAGTTAGAGAATGGATGATCTCAAATGTTACTGTTCAATAAGTGTAGTAGCTTCTGATGCACATCATGTATCTTTGTTTTTGGGATGGGCTGTCTCTCAGATCCAGCTACTTACCAGCTTGGTAAAAGAGCTGGTAGAGCTCATCTGATCTAGTTGCTTCAGGGATTACTTGCCTCACAAATTAGCCATCAAGATTCACTTGGAATCTGTGTGAATGGCTGTGCCCTGACTTGCTGAAACGGTTTAGGAAACAGGAAAGGAGTTATGTTGTTGCAACTGGTTTTCTTGGTAGTACTTGAGTTTGAGTTAAAAGAGCAAATTTTATTCTGAAGTAACACAGATGTTCTGTTAAAGTAGGGAACCTGGGGAAAAACAAAACCAAACCAAACCAATCTTGATTGAGTGCCCCTTCTTCTGAATGCAATGTAAATAAGGCAAAATACTGTTCTGTGCTTCAGAACAGGTAGGGCTTAGGCTGCCAGAGGACTTTCCCTTTGTTCAAAGGGGGGCTTTAAATGCTAATAAAATGTTAACTATTTTATTAGTTTGTGTATGTACTTTGTGACTCATCAATACACAGCAAACAAACAGCTTTTTTATAAGAGGATGAGAGCTGCTGTTTTGTATGAGAACAGGACCTAAGACACACGGGATGCAATTACTACAGTCCTCATGATTCTTGTTATAGGCTCATCATTAGCTGAGTGAAGGGGTAAATGCTCTCCTAGTGGCATATTCATGCTCAGTGAACTCCAGAGGAAGTAAGTTGCTTTGCTCTTGGGTCTGTGGGAAGCATTATACAAAACTGATGATAAACCCCTCAGTGTACCTAGCATAGCTACTCAGCCTAGACAGTGATGGATGATTGCTTTGATCCAGTACAGTCATTTGCAGTTATGCCTACGGTATGATGGACTTGTCAAAAGAACTTATTTCACTGGAAATGATACTCTGCTGGATACAGCTTCACCGTCTCATTTTTTTAACTCTCTTCGATCTGAAAAGCGATCTGGTTTAGGCCAGTCTTGTCTTGGACAATGAACAATAATGGCTACTAGATGTTTGAGAAGGGCTTTAACATAAAAGGATTTGAGTGGGTACCTACTTATATGCATAGTCTATGTACAAACCACTTGTTTATGTTTTCTCACACAGTAACAAGCTCTCCTTCTTGACACGCAGACATGATGTATAGAAAATAAGTACCATCTGCGGATTGTTTATTTCTCTGCCTAGCCCTTAAAGCAGTAATTGGAGGCTCTGGTTTGGGCATCTGTGGGAGAAACCAGCTTCAGAGCAAAGAACCAATTTATTTTTAGATCACATATTTGTCATTTTGCTGTGATCACGCAGCTGAGCATGTGCTTCCTTTGAGATCTCTCCAGGCACTGCAGTGTGATCACACCCTCCTAAGATCATTTTTTATGAAGTTAATTTCTAGAGACAGATGAAAGATGCTAGGACCAGTATCCTTAATTCCACTAGCACACGTTCTGCCTCTTAAGTTTGTTAGTCAAAAGTTCTGGGTTGTTCTGTTTCGGGGTTTTTTTGTTTTTTTTTTTTTTATTTTATTTTATTTCCTTTTAATTTCTTTTAGTTCTCCTCATGTTAGTCATGTTCCTCTTGCAGAGTAATGTAAGTAAGCCCACTGACTTCTCTAGGGAAATTCCTGCTTCATACCACTGAAGGTATTACTGTCAGTACGGGTGATTCCTTAGGGAAGAAATGTACCCATAAGAGTGTGGTGTGCCTGGCATGTTTATAGATTTACATGGTTAAAACTGAGTTAGCTTTAAAAAAACCAAAAGTATCTTATTAGATAAGTATCTTATTAAGAAACAATGCAGAGGCAGCAGCAATCAAAATCCACATGATGTTCAGGGTAAATACTCTCATGTTTTCCTGTCTAGGTTATTAGTCCCCAAGCAAATTTATTTAAAGGTAACACAGGCGTTCCCTATCTATACTACGAGTATACTGTTGAATGTAGTGCTAACATCCTTTCAGTGAACAGAGATGTAGACTTTGCAAAGAGAGGCAGAAAACAATTAGCATTGTTTTAAAGTTTCCTTTTGAGATAACACTATTTTAAAAATTTTTTTAACCCCTTGCACTGTGCAGAAGATTGCCATATTTATATTTAGGATGGGATGAAGTTAAGTAAAATTGGAAGTAATTTTCCAGCATTGAAGTCCTTTATTTTCCTAAAGAATTCTTCAAATTTGAATTGGAAGGAGTTAGTCTCAGCTGGCTAACAGCAGGAGTGCTCAGTGCCAGGTGATATTTCAGATCAGGCAAAATAACTTGTAAAAGTGAAGCTTGAGCTGTGACAGGACAGTCATAAATGTAAAAGGTTGTTGGCCATTCCTCTTCAATTATGTTAGTGTTTGGGATATTACATCCTTGTCATGTATTTTCCATAGACAGTGTGTGGCTTCTTGTTGCAATATTAACTGCCTAAATTAGGCTGTGTGCACTTGTCATTATCCCTACATGCTCCCAGATTTAATTAACAGCTAAGCACAGTGAGGCTACCAAAATAGAAGGCAGAATCCTATTTTTACTCCTTATAATAAATCTCTAGCTGCAAACCTAATAGTGGTAGGCTAGTTGCAGAAAATCGAATCTCGGCTGGTATTAATAGGTAGACAGATAATGGTCCTCGTGAAATACTGTATTAGCTCATGTAAAGCGCAGGCATAGTGACCACATTTAGTTGGAAGATGCTGCTTCACTGACCTAAACCTGAGGTACCTCATTGTGGATTTTGGAGAGTGGGAAAGAAGCAGGTCTGCCTCTTCCCCACCCAACGATAGGGCATGGTGCGAGGCCTGGCTCCAACTTCTGTGTGTTTCACAGTCTGATCTTGCTCATGTACATGCTGATTTTTCAGCCACAGTTTTGTGCAATTTCAGTATTCAGACTAAAACAGTTTGACAGAGGCTGCTATAGTTTCCCCAGATGTTGCTGCACTTGGCGTTGCTGCTGTAGAAGTCCTCAGTAAAAACACCATCAGCCTGAGTCAGCCACATTAAGTGGTGGCCCGGTGCAGATTTATGTGCCTGTAACAGATTAGGCTGAAGGTTGAGATGAAAGCCTACT